TTTCAAGTTCTTGAAAAGTCTCAAGGAGCTAGTAGCTACTATATTTGACAGTACAATATAGAATATTTCCATCATTATAGAAAGTTCTATTGGGCATGCACTGATCAAGTGTTCTCTAATTAGAGTTTCTCTAATTTTCTGTAAAGGCCATGAGCTATTTTTATAACCAGAAAAAAGGAATAACAAAGTCAAGGTCCTCCTACACTGTTGGTGGGAATGCAAGCTGGTGCAGCCACTCTGGAAAACAGCATGGAGATTCCTCAAAAAGTTGAAAATAGAGCTAGACTATGACCCAGCAATCACACTACTGGGTATTTACCCTAAAGATACAAATGTAGTGATCCGAAGGGACATGTGCACCCAAATGTTTATAGCAGCAATGTCCACAATAGCTAAACTATGGAAAGAACCTAGACGTCCATCAACAGGTGAATGGATAAAATAGATGTGGTATATATATACAATGGAATACTATGCCATCAAAAGAAATGAAATCTTGCCATTTGAGATGACGAGGATGGAACTAGAGGGTATTATGCTGAGCGAAATAAGTCAATTAGAGAAAGACAATTATCACATGATCTGTCTGATATGAGGAATTTGAGAGGCAATGTGGAGTGTTTGGGGGGTAGGGAAGGAAAAAATGAAACAGGATGGGATTGGGAGGGAGACAAACCATAAGAGACTCTTAATCTCACAAAACAAACTGAGGGTTGCTGAGGGAAGGGGGGTATGGAGAGGGTGGTTGGGTTATGAACATTGGGGAGGGTATGTGCTATGGTGAGTGCAGTGTGTAAGCCTGATGATTCACAGACCTGCACCCCTGGGGCAAATAATACATTATATGCTAATAAAAATTAATTAAAAAAAGATGACTTGACTGTAGAAAAACCCAAGAGATTATGTGAGGAATGGCAAAACAGAATCAAGGTGAACTTGTATTTTAAGGAAGCAGTGACTTTAATGAGAGAGATTCAATATAATCGATAGTATTGTTTTCAACTTAAGTACAGGAAAGGTGTATTAACTGGGAGAGGGAGGGTCTACATATGACCCAGAAAAAGGAACCCAAAAAGGCAGGATTGGTCAATGTACCCCAGGATGGTTGTTGTGGTGAGGAAAAAAGCCCTATGATCATGGATTGATGCCTCAGAAAATAGCAATTTAATGGCTCCAGTAAGAGGTTGTCCAGCAAACCCTCTTGGTGGCTCCAACTCTCAACCTGACACTCTAGACTTTAGAAGTTGTTAGTGTCCACTGACACCTGCATCTCCTCTCGTTCCTGGATGCAAAGCTAAACAAGTGTTCTGGATCCTTCTTGCATCTTAGTGGAAACGTTTGCTCATTTGGACAATGGGTGGGAACAGGCAGGGCACCTACCACTTTCTGTCCTGGTTAGAAAAAGATCTACATAATCTTCCATGCCCTTATTTTCTCTACTTCCTGTGTCTATTGGGGAAGGACTCCAAGAGGATAGAACCACAGAATGAAATAAGCCCCAATCCTTAAGTTTCTGTTGGAGAACCGTGGAAGCTGTCAGAATGGAAATATCTGCAATGAACATGGGGCAAGAAATAAACCCTTGTTGGGCTACCCCAGTGAAATTTTGGGGGGTTGTTTGTGACATAGCAGCAGTGATACTTATTCTAACATATACATTCTAATTTGATCTTCTACGCAGAATGTGTTAATGCAGCAGGTCTGGTGACTTAATCTTTGTGTGCCTCTAGAGGAGCCTAGAACCATGACTGACCTTCAGCCAGTCTCCAAGAATGTGGTCCTTGGAATGTTCTTTATGTAACTGATGGATGATGTTGTTTTGTGCTCCAAAAGCAATGGGGTTTGCTCTACAGCTTGTCAGGATTGGTTAGCAAGCTTTATGATGTTTATCTGGTGTCTGGGTTGGGATTCTGAGTTCTGCTATCATGGCTGTTCACTGAGCAGGAATATACCCACCTGACCAGCCCTCCATAAAATCCTCAGACTCCAGTGGACTTCCATGAATATAGTTCACACATGGCCCTATAGTTTGCTGCTAGAGAGAAAGCACATCTTATCTGACCGGGAAGGGCAGTAGTTGGAAGCCCACATCTAACCTCTCTTGATTTCTCCCAATGCATTTCATTTTTCCACTGCTCTGCTTTTATTCCATATCCTTTGCTATAATAAACCTTAGCCATGACTAAGACCTGCTGCTGAGTCCTGTGAATACTCCTGGTGAGTCAATGAACTTGAGGGTGGTCATGGGGCTCCCCAAATGCCTCCCACCTGTAGAGGTACAGGCTGCAGTTGTGGAATGAAGAAGCCATGGTGATAGAAGTTACAACATAGGGAGTATAGTCAATGGTATTATAATAGTGTTGTATGGTCATAGATGGCAGCTATACTTGTGGTAAGAACAACACAACATAAAGACTTGTGGAATCACTATGCTATACCCCTGAAACTAACATTTTGCATCAACTACACTGCAATTGAAAAAAAGAGCCCTCCACTCCCCCCCAAAAAACCCCCCAAATTGAGAAACAAAATACCTCCTACATGAGATCTTTCTCTTGGAAAACGGAGCACAAACTGTCCAGAATAAGTATGTTTTCTATCTGGCACTTGAATATCTTACTACCACCTGTTGACATCCCAGCATAAACATCAAACTCCTGTGAATCTGGTTGATATGAACCCCTTCATAAGGGCCTGACTGACAACAACACCACTCATAACATCTTCAGAAGATTATCTGGAATTCTGTGACCACCTAATGATGTCCTTTCAGTGGCCAACCTGGAAGGCATTTCTTCAGTGTCTCATATGCGTCACTTAAGAATATGAAGCGGGGCACCTGGGTGGCTCAGTGGGTTAAGCCTCTGCCTTTGGCTCAGGTCATGGTTTCAGGATCTTGGGATGGAGCCCCGCATTGGGCTCTGCTCAGCACAGGGCCTGTTTCCCCCCATCTCTCTGCCTACTTGTAATCTCTCTCTCTGTGTGTCAAATTAATAAATAAAATCTAAAAAATAAAAAAAGAAGAAGATGAAGCAAGTTCAAGATTTAGGATAACGGCCATCGTGAGATAGAAACAAAGGCTATGGAGAGAGGTCCCATTTGCTGGTGATGCTGGGGAGGGTCCAGAGAGGAATTCTGCATGAAACACACCTGGAAGAAGGGACATTATTTCCAATGGGAAGAGTGATGGGGTGTGTGCATTTGAGACAGAGTCATCTGCCTCTGAAACAGGGCACCTTCAGGGACAAGGACTCTGAGGGCACTGGCTTGGCTCTATGAAATGTCTGAGATGGCAAGTAGTCTGGGAGGTATGATATTTAGGGTGAACTGTTGAGGGTTATTGAAGAACTGGCCTTCCTGATGGATATCTGTTTATATTACAATTAGCCAAGGCTGAGAGATCCTTATACCTTAGGGCCCAGGATTAAAACTCGTGCTGCTGAATCGCTCATAAAAGTCATCAAAAACACCATTTTCTAAATCCATATTGTCATGTAAGTTTGAATGTCATCATTTTTTCAATTGTCTGATGAGTACCCACATGACCTGACCCTGCCTAGACTTCCAACTGCCTCTCAAATCATGGGAGCCTCCCCTATGGTCACTTTGCTCCACTTACACTGGACTCGCTTCATGCCAAGTGCATCTCTGCCTCAGGGCCTTTGCACTGGCTGTTCCTTCTGCCTAGAATGCTGCGCACTGCCGCCCACATCCCCCTGGCTGGTTCTGTCTAGTTATTCAGATTTCTTGTCACAGTTACCTTCTGAAAACTACCAGCATCCCCCCAAGGGAATGTAGCCTCTTTCACCATGTCATTACTCAATTTCACTGACGACAGAGCAGAGATCTTCATTCCTTAGAACACGTTCTGCTTCTTTCCATCCCCTTGTGCTTATCTTTACCCTCTGGTGAAATTTCTCAGCCGGCAGGTAACTTCAGATGAACCAAAAACACTGTCTGCATGGATTTCAGTTTCATTGCAACTGGCCGGACACCCCTTCCCTGGTTGAAATAGCTATTCATTTGTCAAGCAACTTGGAAGACAATTGTCATCTGATAAAATGAGCCACAGTATTTCCTACAGGGTATACCATTGCTTAACAACAAATTGTGCAGATAGACTAAGGTAGTGCTTGGCAGCACATCTGGAGAAGCACTGGCCCTGGGTTGAGTGTAAAAATTCTGGAGGCACATTACTCTTTTCTTTCCGTGTCTGGGCAAAATCCTTCAATTGCAGTTTCTTCCCCAGTCCTTGGATAGTGAGTATCTGGGACAGAGTTGCCATTAGTGGAGGGGGAACATTTTAACAAATTGGGAAAGAGAGCTGGACCCTCCATGTCACTCACCTGCAAATCCACCTGAAGTCACAATCAACTTAGCCTTGAGAAATAGCAATGGAGGCTATCTCTGTGGGGGCTGACCCTCACCAGACCCCTTGCAGGGGGTGCATCTTGTAGGTTGTGTCCCTTCCTCCATGAATGAAATGATTTTTCCCACAGAGCAAACACACTAGACAGGGGCTGACAGAAGATGGCCCATGGGCCAAATATGGCCGGCCTCCTATTTTTGCGTGGCCCATGAGTTAAGAACGATTTTTGTAATAAATGAAAAAGAATCCCATACCATAGATCAGGACATGTAAAAATTATATGGAATTCAAATTTCAGTTTCTGTACATAAAGTTGCATTGAAACAGCCACACTCACTCATTTGCACATTGTATATGCTGTTTTTAGGCTACAGCTACGGAGGTGGGTTGTTGTGACAGAGACCATCTGGCCCACAAAGCCTAAAGTGTTACTACTATCTGGTCCTTCCCTTAAGAAGTCTGCCAACCCCGTTTTCAAGTCCTGAATGCCCCCACAAGCCTGATTTTAGGACTTCGATAAGCAAGAGTTCCTTTGCCTCTCAACATTAGTATTTCCTCATCTCCTCTGCCCTGAAAACAGTGTCCGCATAGCCCGAGATTTAAGGGGAATTCACAGGGGAAACCCACTTACGTAGGATCCATAATCCACAGCCAGGGTCTGCAGGGCCCATGGGAGACCAAGGCCAATGAGGATATCAAACACATTGCTCCCGATAGAGTTGGATACTGCCATGTCTCCCATGCCTGAAAAGACAAGAGGTCACTAGAGTAAGGGAGGTGATCTCAGGATAGTACAGGGGCTCCCCAAGGGACCCTGTCAAACTTTTGGTCTGACAGCCAGAGACTTAGCTGGCAGATCTGCTGGCTCATTTGCTAGGTGGTTCCCTCCCAGGCCACCACCTGTATTTTCAATGGGATAGGTATCTTCAGTAGCAAGGAATGGAATGGAATGGAACAGACTAGAATGAAATGCACATACTACTGAACTGCTGACCTTCAGATATGATCACTGGTGAAATGTGAATGATTCCAAAGACCAAATCTAGTTCCCCAAATTCTGAAACTTCCTTCTAGAAAGGAATAAACTTAACAGTTCTGTTAAGCCTCTCACGAGCTCACCAACTCATATATTTTACTACCATCTCCCAACTGCTCTACACTCACTTCAACTCTTTTTCTAAATAATTGAGCACTATTAAGAAAAACAGTGTAACCAGTAGAATTTCATGAGGACTTCTCGGGGACACTGCTCTAACTGTTGTAGCTACACACTGTATTTGTCAAAAACAAATGCAATCAGCACAAATCAGGCATGCACACTAGAGTGGGTTCTAGCAAAGGGCATGGCCTCTGGAAGGAGCGTCCATCTGTGAGCTTGGTTTTGAAGGAGGGGAGGCTGTGCCATACATTGAGGACTGACCTATGACAACCACCATTGTCAGGGTACTGCAGCTGGGTAGACCTTAGGCTATGGGTTCTGTCTTCTCTAAGCCTTGGTTTCCCTATCCATAGAATGGGGGACTGATCTTCCCTATCCCACAGAGTTGTTTAAATTAAATAAGATAACATACCTAGACAGCTTTGCTCGGTGTGTGACGCTCAGCAAAGGTTAACTCTTATTACATTTATTACTATTTTTAATAAAATAGGGGGTCAGTAACACAACCTCTAGAAAGGCCTCTGTGTACTACCTAGAAAATGTCTCTGCCTTTCTGAAGGGTAGATCTTCTGGCTTGTTTCCCTGTTCTTTTGATGCCAGTGAGCTTTTCGACCGACACAGCACTGAAGTCAACCATCACCTGGGTAATTGTCATGTGGATCCCCCAAAGCTCCCCCCAACCCATAGGTCTTCCTCCCTTACCCACCCCTGTCCCCATCTAAATGGAGGTCCCACCCTGTCTGGCCACGATGAGGCTAGCCATGCAATCGGGCACACTGGTTCCAGCTGCCAGGAAGGTGATCCCCATGATGACATCAGGAATTCCCAGTGTGTATCCAATGATCGTCACCTGGAAGAAGCAGGAAGAGGTGGTGAGTTGGGGGCTCATGTCAACCTGATGCACCAGTGGATCCTCTGCCCAAGAAGCACAAAAGGCTGCAAACTAGGCAGTCTCCTCAGGGGGCAATGTCTGCTCTAGGTGTCAATGTAGATGGCAAAGAACATCGTGCAGAGCAGACCAGGACTGCAGGTCTGGGAACTAAGATACAATTATGGAGCCCATGTTTCCCAACCAAAGATTAGTATTGTATACATCTTTCTTTCAGGTGAGGCAGGAGGCTTGAGAGAAAGTTTCTGAGAAAGGTTGACTTGGGGGACAGAATATTTGAATTCAGGATGGTCCTAGGATACCCCAGAATGGAAAAGTGGAGTCATAAATAGGCAATGCATTCTGGATGGTTGTGTTTCCTAAAATGGCTTTGGGGCAGAGGCTCTTTTGAGCCAGAACCCCACAACCAATGCCAGTTCTTAAATCTTTGTTTTAGCTTCAGAAGGGACCCTTGAGTGGTCACCTGGTCCATTGACCTTACTTTCTGGTTGACAAAACTATGACTTAGTTAAGGGAAGTGACGATGACAGCTGGGATGATTACTCCCCAATTCACATCTTTCCTTCATGTTTCCTTCATGTTCTTTGCCTTGTGGCTCTGCTGTTCTTCCCGTCAGAGCAGGTGGAATAGATTTTCCCCACTCCATTGATACTGGGCAGAAGTCAGAGGTCCAAGGTGCTAGGATGCACCTCATGTTTCCACTGGCCCTCTAGCATTCCAACAATCTGCCATGAGAAAAGCATTCCCTAGGTAGCCACCGGTCCAAGGAAAACGAGCAAACATAAGAAGTAGATATGAAACCCCTTGCTGCCTGAATCACATATAACCATGTTATGGCTTGAAGGAGAACCCTCAGTCAGTGCTAAGATTAGTCAAACCACGCTCAACCTACAGGTATGTAAGCAAGAAGATAACTTCTTGGGATTCTAAACCACTGAGTTCAGAGGTGGTTTGTCATGCAGCTTATTGAGGCATTAGCTGACTGATACAGTGACTGGGCTGACACCTCACCTCCGAGTCCCTTCTGATTGAGGGTATTTTTCTCTCTAAAGAGGTCTAGCAATGCTGTGGGTCCTCAGTACACTCACCATCCACACCATCATGTAGGAGAAGGCTGCTATCCACAACGTGGAAGAAGCAAATGTCACCATAAACCATTTTTCCCAGCGCGGCTTGTTGCAGTTGGGTACAGTGAAGTATAAGACAAAGCTCAGTGGCCAGGTGAATGCCCACTTCACTGTTTCCAGTTTTCCAGCTGGGAAAGGAAACAAAGACAAAAACAAAAATTAGTTAGTTTCATCTCTGTGTTTTACCAGCCCTCTGTGCTACTTGCCCCAGACATTTACGTCCTAATTGATGACCTGTGAAATCAGGCTTATTATATTGTCCTTTTCATAAAAGACACAAATGGCTTCCCACCAGCAGCAAAACCTAGCATACAAAAGCAAGCAGAATAAAAACAGTTATCCACCGCTCACCTGCTAGTTAGGCACCCAAATGACAGATGAGGCACTTCTGAGGATACAGGGCTGGAAGGATGGTTTGGCACATGTGGTCGGTGGCAAAGGATGAGGAAGATTCCCAGATGCAAGGGGAGGGGAGTGTGTGGGGATGCAGGTGAAGGTTAGGGAGGGGAGCTGGAAGACCACCAGTTGGCCTGGGGTCTGTTCTCCCCATGGTTAGATCTAATCTTGCCAGATTATAAAGCGTCAGTGGTCCCAGCGCCATCTAGTGGAGTTGCTCAACATTGTCAATTCCTTGAAATGAACAATGATTTGAAAGTTCTCAAGGTGGGGTTTGTATCTCAAATTGAAGTGAATTTGCATATTAGTCATTGATTTCTGGTTCTCTAAATACCTGCTGCCATGGCTAGTGATGACCTGATCTTATCATCTCTATGTTGCCTGAGCCCTGTGTTTCAGAGATACCCATAAATGCTTATTTTGGTGACTATGTTGCTATGAGTTCCTTGTAACCACAGATTTGACAAACCTTTCAATTCTCCTTTAGCCTTACATCCTGAGTAAGTGCTAACACTTCTGGTAAGAAATATGTATTGCATACACTCCCTGCTTCAATAGAGATAAAGAACCTCTCTGCCTTCCAGAAATTTCCTTGAGCCTCTTTCCAGTCAACCTTCCACCTTCTACCACCATAAATTAGTTTTCCCTGTTATCCACATTTAAATAAAGAAAATCACATGGCATGTGATTTTAGTCAACTACATTCTTTCAGCCAACATGTTTTTTGAGATTCATTCATGGGTCAGGAGTTCATTCTTAATTGCTTTGTAGTTTTCCATCCTACGGATACACAATTTGTTTATCCATTCTCCTCCGGATGGGAATTTGAGTTGTTGCCAGTTTTCAGGTATTACAACTAAAGGAGCTATGGATATTCTTGTATCCTTTGTTTTGTCGGCATGTTTTTCTTTCTCTTGGGCGAAGACCCAGGAATAGAATTGCTGAGTCACAGGGAAGATGTTTAACTTCGCAAGAAACTGCCGAGCACTTTTCCAAAATGATCATCTCATCTTATATTCCTATCAGAATGAAGGAGGTATTTGTTAAATTACACTGTGAACAGTGATTAATAAAATGTTAAATGAAAATTATTTCAAAATTTTATGCCAGTATCCAGCACTTTTCCAATTAGCTGCTATGCAGATACGGAGCTGGGAACGGATGGTGACAACCTTGAGACTGTTTGGCTGGATTTCTAAGCAAGAAAGCAGTCAGGGTTTTTTTGTGAGGGGCTTCCAAATGTTGTGGAGTCCTCCATTATCGTCAGACCCTTGGATCTCAAAGACATCCTGGAATTCGGCATGCTCCTAAAGCCTGTAACGTGGTGATGTCATTTTTTCATCGGGCAATGCCCTCACAGGCCTTGCAGTCCTCCGGATGCCCTTACACAGAGAGACTTGGTCCAGTTTAAAACACACACCCAATCAAAGTTACAAAGAAACACACGAATGGGAAGAAAAATGACTACAATCTTGCTTTGTCTTTCTTCAGAAAATAATAATAATAAAAAAAGACAAGGGAAGAAAAATGAAATTGGAACTTAAGACTGTGGGAGCTTAGAAAATGATACTGATTCAGTAGAACTGTAAGCAATATACGTTGTCACCAATGAATTTTGAGTTTTTTCTCTCACTGCTTTAGAAAAGTCTGACTTGACCCTGGAGGGGCCATATATCTAGAAAACAGTTTTCTCCATTTCATGATACAGATATTTTCTCTAAGTTACAGCTCCACTTGTAACCACAAACTTACAGTAGAAACTCAATCAGTATCATCTGGAAGTTACTTTTTTAAGTGTAATGTAACAAATATAACTCCTTGAGCAAACCAAGTGATACAGAAATGTGCTTTTTAAGCGATTTTGAGGAGCAGTCAGATAAGGAACGTACTTATATTTTTGTGTGTTCTTTTCAGTCTTTTTTTTTCCCCGCTGAAAGTGTGTTTACCTACATCCTTTGTAAATGTTTCTATTTCTATTAGTCAACAGTAAGTCTTTCTTCATGCAAGGGTTAATATATGTACAACTTATACTATGCATAGGTGTATATAACTTACATATATACTATGTGGATTTAGCCTCTACGTATATCATATGCACATATAAACACAGGAATGTTAATGTATGTGCACATTTTAGCTGGCCTAAATTTCTGTTTCTGAAAAAAGGGGTAAAATGTTTTCCTTTCCTGTTTGAGTCAACAGTATTTCTGGACATTTTCCCATCTTTTCTTCCATTGCTATGTGGTCTGCCTCTAGTCCCCCAGGGGACAGGTTTATTTCTTCACTTAACAAATATTCTTTGAATTGCACCCCCACCCCCACCCCCAAGGCCAGTCTGTGCCAGGTGCTGTTCCGGGTGCTGAGGACAGAGCTAAGAAAACAAAACTCCCTGAGCATGAACCTGATATACCCAAGATTATGTGATTCCTTGGAAAGGAGCCAGCAGCTGGGAGATGAAGTCAGGGACATGAAGTGAGGACTCAGAGCATTATAGTATCCCTTTGAGTGTGACTTGGCTCCAAAAAGCAAAGGACCTGTCCTTAAGTTGTATTCCTTATTGAGTTTTTACAGAAGTTTACTTCTATTGAGAAGAAGAAGTCATTGCTCATTCTTATAGACCTGGAGTTAAATATATCAATTTTCTCTAACTACATAGGCAATAAAAACACAGTGTTTTAGAATGGAAAATCTAGAAAAAATAAAAAAAGAATTCCACCTGGAGAAACACACTCATATTTTGGTATATTTCTTTTCAGTCTTTTTCTGTGGAAGTATGTTTGCCTATGTACACATGGAAATATTTCTTTCTTTTCTTTTCTCTTTCTTTCTTTCTTTCTTTTTTTTTTTAGAGAGAGAGAGAGCATGCAAGCGGGGGGGGAAGGGGAGGAGAGAGAGGGAGAGAGAGAATCTTATCCACGCCCAGTACAGAGCCTGATGCAGGGCTCAATATCACGACCCTGAGATCATGACCTGAGTTGAAATCAAGAGTTGGATGCTTAACCGACTGAGCCATCCAGGTGCCTCCACATGTAAATATGTGAATATTTCCATTTCTGTCAGTCAACATTAAGGCTTTCTTTACACAAGAGGTAAATATACATGTGCAATTTTTATAGACATACACACACACACACATACACATTTTCTATGTATAGGTATATATATGAATATATATTTTATGAATTTAACCCATATGTACATTATGAGCACATATAAAAATACAGGTATGTTAATATCTGTGCATAAACCATAAAAGCATAAGCTCAATATAAAAATGTATACATTGCATGAATAAACATGTCGTATGTACACATGATATCAACCATACACATGCACACCGCATATATGCACACACTTGTATGTACATGTATGTGCACATAGTGTATGTGTATACACACCCATCCATCCTAGGTACGCCTACATTTACATACTTCCACATAATTACTTATTTGTTACTTACACTCACTACAGTCAAGTCCTGGAGAGAAGAAAGCCCTATATCTGAGTGACAGAAACACAGAGAACCATGCCCCGACAAGATTAACACAAGGGGGAAAAATGTCCTCATCATGTGGACAGAGCTTTTTCAGGCCAAAGGAACTGGATGTGGGGCTCCTGGGACTAGGTCCTTCCTGCTCCTCGAATGCCATCTGCTGGCCCTCTCACTGCTGTGAAGGCTCTGCCTGCCCTGAGAGTGGGGCGGGTGCTGCTGGACATGCAGGCTGTGAGCCTCAGAGGGAAGTTCCTGAGTCCTGAAATGGGGTGTGGGTTTGGTGGTGGGAGGGAACAGAGGATAACTGGACAAACCCCCTCTCCAATTCAGCTGCAGCACCTCACCTCGTTCTGAATGAGGCTCGCCTAAGGCTCAGGAGAATGGTGAAGATTGCTGGCGTGAGTCCAGGATGTTACCTTCTCACTGCCTCAGGTACAGCCCCGGACAAGCAGCCCCAGTGTCCCCTGGGGGCTTGTGATAAATGCGGAATCTGGGCCTCCCCGCCAGAGCTCCCGAATCAGAGCCTGCATTTTTATCCAGGATGCCCTGGTGACAGGGCTGGTCTAGAAGAACCTAGTTCTTCTGGAAGAAGAACTTCCTTTCTTGGCAGCTCAGGGCCTTGAAATGAAGCAGAGACCCCAAGGAATGGCAGGACCAAGCAGAGCATCCTTTCTCCTCTAGTGCTTGAATTGCCAAAAGATGCAGGGTGCCTCAGGGGCGGGGGTGGGGTGGGGTGGGGTGGTGGAGATTCCTTAGCCCACACCAGCAGCCACGGCTCTTAACACATGAGGAGACAAGGTGATGTGGCTGGGAGGCCCCGGGCCACTTCATCTGCAATGAACCCCAGAGATGAGGAGTGGAAGTGAGCAACAGTTAGTTATAAGATATCTTGAAATCTCCCAGTTAGGTCTGGCATTTATCCCATTCAGGTGAGAAAAAGGAAATAAGTGACCTGAAAGGGGCCCTTTTGTCCCACTGAGTAATGAGACCCAGTTGTGGGAGCCAGATGAGTTGTCTGGTGCCACACACATGTCTTTGGTCATCTGCCTGGAAGGGTGTACATGGGGCTTCGGGGCCTCTGGGGGCGCCCCCCCCAACACTGGTCCCTTACAGACTCTTCACCTGGTCCAAGAGCTTCTTTCATCAGTGAAAGACTTTAGCAAAATAGGCATTTTTGGAACTTCGTTATGGGCTGTTGAGGGTGAGCTCTGAAAGCAAAGATTTTAGACGTAGACCCCCAAAAGTCTGTGCCCCGATTCTCAGAACCTGTGAAGAGGGGGCTGAACCATCAGTTCTATGACTATGCTCTGCTGTGTGGGAGAATCGACCTCCTGAAAGGGGATTAGGCAGGCGGGCCTGCTCTAGGCTCCTCAGAAGCAGAAGGGGAAGCCCAAGAGACTGGAATTGTGAGAAGGACGGAAAGCACCATTGGTGATGGGAAGAATGCAGGCTTCCAGGAGCAGTGAGCAGCCTCTGGCTGACAGCCAGCAAGGGAATGGGACTCAGCCTTCCAACCACAGGGAACTGGGTTTTGCCAATAATCTGCATGTGTGTTTGAGAGTGATTCTCCCCAGGGCCTCTGGGAAGGTCTATAGCCCTGTCTACACCTCTAATATGGCCTTTGGAGCCTCTGAAGCCCAGCCAAGCTGTGCTGGACTTCTGACCTACAGAACTGGGGGCTAATCAACGGGTGTTGGTTTAAATCACTCAGTTTGTGGTAATTTGTTCTACAGCAATAGAAAATGAACACAAAAGTTCATAAGGGGGATATAGAGGGCCTGGTTGCTTAATCTTTAAAATGTTTTTGTCCTGTTGATAGGGAAGAAGGTTGCCAAGAGTCAAAGATGGCAAAATGGATAAAGAGCCAGCATGCTTTTTTTCCTACCAAGATAAACCTCTAATAAGTAATGACTTAACTCTGGCTGGGCTGTTGGGACTTTGGGGTAAAAGATCTGTGTGGATATTCTTTAGTTAGTTTGGGGAAGCACTTGATGAGGTTGAGATCTGAGGGGCCCTGAGGGGACCCAGGAGCAGTTCTCATCCTAGGTACACTTGCTATTCCCTGGACCACAGAAAGGCCTTACATCTGAAATTAACAGAGAACTCTGCCACTCCACACCCACATCTTATCATTAAATGACCTTTCAAGTGGGTCAAGTAATACTTCACCAGAATTCAGTTCTCCTGCAATTTTAAACATCCCAGAGAAGTCACACACTTATTAAGCTCTCACACTGGACCAGGGCACTTTCCTGAAACAGTTGAAGATTCTGGAAGGTCTAGAAAATAGGTAGAATTTTTTGGGCTTGGTCCACCCATTCCACGAGTGGGTAGGATGGGGGGAAAAAGTCTTTACAATGGCCAAGTCATTGTTGGGTAGCAGTCAGAGGAGGACACTGCTTTGGTGGCTGGGGTCGTGAAAATTATACATGCCTGCTTCCCCTTCAAGATATCAGGGAGATGCCCTTGGCCAGCCTCACTGTGTGAGACTTAGCTGGGGCTGGGATCTATATCTCCTATGGTGTCCATCCTGGAAACAAGCAGGTCATGGGAGAGGAGAAACCTGAATGGGGTGTGTGAGGTAAAGGGCAAGAAGTGACTGGGAGAACAAAGACCAGCTGAGAAGTCTGCATGTTTCCCCAAGGCTGGCCTTGGCAAAACAGGTCCCTTGGCCAAATGTAATGGGATGGGTGAAGGTGGGTGATGTGTCTCTTGTCTTGAGCACCAAGCTGCCTTCCCAACATGGGTGATGGGCATTTCCTCCTTAGCCCCGAGAGGTTCCACAGAGCAGCTAAACTAAGCTAAGAGTCTTCCTTCGCAAAGTGCCAACAAATTATACTTGGTCAAAGAACCCACATTTCAACCCACGGTCAAGTGTTCCCATCTTGTTCATCTTTGGACCTTCTAAAACAGAGTCTTTCCCACTGTAGTAGTTAATATAAATATTTCTATGTTCATATAGAGATAGTTCTTTGAATCGAATGTCAAAAAGATCACCAAAGTCAAAGGCATCTATTCAGTGGCCTCAAAATAGCTCCCAAACCCAGCCTAGACATAGGACCTCTTACAGGGGAGGTCGAATGGCGTGTAAGGTCCTTCATCATCATCCTCATCCTCCTCTTCCTCTTCGTCATTCTCGTTGTTCTCATTGTCTTCATTCTCATTCTCTGTCTCATTACCAGCCTCTGCAACAATATCATCCCTCCGAGTCCCATTCACGCCTCTGTCTGGGGCACTGCTGGGCCCTGTCCCATTCTCCACGGTGTGCTTAATTGGGATTTTGATGGCCACCTCCGATTCTCCATTGGCATAGGCCCTACTGTTAATCAGTCTTTGTCTCTGGAAAGAAAAAGGCACATTCTTACCATAGTCAGAAGAACTGTAGATCTGCACACCCAGAACACCAGCTACTGGGATCTTTTTCAGGCAGCTGACAAGGAGATGCTTCCAGGAGATTCTGCAGTGAAGTCTTAAGGGATTCCTCAAAGTAAGAAGCAACTCAGACAACCTCCTTCTGGGAGGAAGGATTAACCTTTTATGACCCACTGGAGTGTTTTCTACCAGCATTCTTGATTCCTGTGCACTGTAGTATTATCTTTCTTCTCTGGACTGTAGGAATCCCTTGGACCATATGAGAGAAAGCCACATAGATGTGTCTGGACTAGTGTATCAATAAGGCTGTGACTCCAGAAACAGGGATACACAGGAAAATTCAGGTCAGAAACTACATTACTTTAAAATAAGGCAACCTTGATTTAGCAAGTACTTCTGTGCCAATTCACATCAGAGAGCTTTATCCAACTGGAAGATGAAAAGAAAAAGGTATGTGGAAGGGAATAGGAGAGTTTTTCTATATAACTGGGAGCCTGGTCATGTCTTTCAACACATGGAGAGAAGAGCAAGAACCAGGATGCACAGCTGGGCCATGGGCAAAGATGTTGGGAAGCAGCAGAGGGGTAATATTTTGTTAAATATAGAGTTTGGTATTTCTATTCTCAGACCAATAAACTTTCTCCCCTTCCCAAAGTCTCCCATCTCCGTCTAGCGGCAAATGGAGTGTGCTTTCCCAGATACCTCATTGATCAACATGCGACTGGCCATGGAGAGTCGGGTCTTGGGGGGAAAATGGCTGGTGATCATGATTCGAAGTCCAGCCTCAGAGAAAGAAAGCTGGTGAGGGTAAGCTGACAGCAGCTCATCTACCATAATCACTGACGCTTTGCGGTGGAAATTGGCTAGGGAAATTAAAAACATAAAATAAAGATATTATTGAGGCTAGAAGCAGAAAAGAGATATTTATTTAGTCTTCTTTCCCCTCCTTCGTCCCTCAGCCCCTCCTTCCTTCCCACCTACTCATTTATCCATCCATCTACCCATCTACCCATCTATCCTTCTTTCTATCCATCCAATCATCCATCCATCCATCCATCCAACCATCCATCCTTCCATCTACTCATCTATCCTTCCTTCCTTCCTTCCTTCCTTCCTTCCATCCGTCCACCCACCCATCCTCCCATCTACCCATCTATCCTTCCTTCCATCCACCCACCCAACCATCCATCCATCCAAGGAGCAAAATATGGAGAAGAGTCAAACTCTTCTTTCCATAAGGCTCATTGATAGCTCTTTTGAAATGACTTGAAACAATATAAGCATCATTCACTGGCATGGTAAGAAAGAGTGATAAGAAAGAGAAGTCCTCTGTATCTTCAAAGGATTTTTTTCCCACCACTCAGACTTGGGGCACAGGAAAGATCCCAATAATCTTTAGTAACCCTTTATGCCTTTCAAATGTCAACAATGTTCAATGTTCTGAGCTGTTAAAAGCTGCAGCAATGACTTTAGTGCCAAGTGGAGGGCGTAAGTGGGGAATTAGCACATTGCTGCAGCCCAGCCTATGAGCAAGGCTGACAAAGGGGCAAAAGGGTAGGTGAACCAGCTACATGACAGAGGCCCAAGGTCCAGAGTGGCCCGAACTGTTACACAACATTTTCTGGCAGTCCTGATAAATAAGTTTCACCAAGGCCCAACACCCTCTCTACAAACATGTGATATGAGCACACAGCTCATAGGTGTCTAGCCACACACTCTGCTGGTGGTCACCCCTGTTTTCCAAGCCACTAAATCATGAAATGATCTCTGGAAACATGGACTAATATGAGGTAGCTCTTTTTGGTTTCCTAAGAGTATTCCTTTAATGGTTATAAACTATCCAGAAGAGAAGAGATTCAATGAAATCCTTTTGTGGGATGGCACTGCATACTTAAGTCTTTTGCTAAACATAATTAGAAAAGTTTATCAAATAATTGATTTTCAAATTCTAATAATTACCTCAGATTTAAAACTCAGATTTGAATAACCTATAGATTTTCAAATTTCTTTTGTGTTTTTCCTGCAAAGCAACCATATGAGACCAAGAAGAAATAAACCCACACATTTTTAGAGAAGGTTAAAAGAAATTGAAAAACCAAACACATTCTAAGGCAAAAGTAAATGATAAATTTCTGTGTTCCTCTAAGGAAGAATATTCTTTATTAGGGAGCACTATCTTAGTTCTCTCAGTGTATCAATTGCTTAATGAGAATCTATTGAATACAAGAATTGCTTCGAAAAAAGGAGGGGCAGCAATTTTCTGTTATTTTGCAGCCTGGATACAGAGGTAATGTAGCCTGAAAAAGAATGTGGATATAATAATATACTAATAGCAACTATCACTAATGGGGTAATTTATATACTTTATCCCCTTTACTCATTACAATTATCCCCATTTTGCAGAAGAAAAAATTGAGGTTCAGAAAGGATGGTTAATTGGCTTCACAGTCAGATAGCCCAAATGTGACAGAGTCAATACCTCAAGACCCCTGGTCTTGTCTCCTTTATTGTCCTGTCCTAAATCCCCTGTGTCACTGCCAGCAAATGTTTTACGCAATGAAGTTTCCCAGGGAGCTCATCACCGGGTATGCCTGCCCGAAGATGTATCCAAAGGGAGGCAGGGAGGCCTGGAAGCTTCTCTCCCTTGGTCTCCTCTGGGGCAGGCAGCCTCCCACCAGCCCAGCCACAGTACTCCAGGGGTGGCCGTGAAGGTGGGCAGCCAGGCATCCTCCCAGTGCTCCCTCCTGGGACCCAGGTTGTCCGCAGGTACCTTTCTTCAGTAGCACCACAGTTGCGTCACAGTTGCTGCTGTCGTCAATTTCAGCATTGTTGGCCAAGCCATTGACCATGTTTCCAGCACCTTTCGTCCTCCTTTCGAAGCACTGATGGATGCAAGCATTATATCTGAACAAAGCAATGAGCAGAAGAAGCCCATCAGCTTGTGTGTCCTGCAGCTCTCAGTGCAGGCACATTGTGGGGGACCCCATACTTCAAATTATCATTATTCTGTATTCATGTCCCCATGGAGAAATGCAATCGGTCCTATTTTCTGAGTGAGTGAAAATAAAACCAACATCACATAAGTAAATAGAGACATACTTCTTTCTTTGCAAATTTTCAAGGTTGGTGGTAGCATTCTGGGATTGAACTCCCTTGCTCACAGTCCATGCTTGGAAGGGCCATGATGAGACTCAGCAGGATGGACAGGTCTACTTTCTCTTGGCCATGTCTCCAGGACACACCCCTTTGAAGGGCGTGCTGGGTGGGGGAAGGAAAAAGTGTCACATCCATACTGCTGCCCAGTCCCAGTGCGTCATGGTCTGCGGGCCACAGGCCAACTGGCACTCTAGGTCTCTGTTTGGTTTTTCTAAAACCATAGGTTGTGGTCCTGGGAATCTCTGTACATAGTGGGCCACAATTCCAGGTCAGGTGGTTGGCTTTAGGAAACAATTCTGGACTATGATTTTCCAGAATGATTGGGTGAAAACATTGTGTTGTCTTTCTTTTAGTCTTTTGTGTTGGAAGGGAAGATGCTTATATAAATTCCTAGCATGTTTTTGGCAGCTACATATTTTTACAATATTAAATATCCTTTACTATTAGAAGACCCCCAGAGAGGAATCCTAGAAAACTCTTGGGGAAACACAGCCAGGCAGTTTCCAGAGCATTGGAGGCCACTGCTATTTTTTTCCCCACTCAAACAGCTAAAGGCATCAGTGGCTTACTAGTCATAGGACAAGCCATGGGACAACAACAACATGTTGCCCCAGCTTGATCTCTGGCCTCCCAGAGGAACTGCAGCCAGGCATGGCAACTCTAAATGGCCAGCTGGTAGGCCCCTCAAGCTGTATTTCCCCACATAGGCTTCTCTTCCACATCCTTTACTGCTACAGGCTCTCTGGAGTCTCCTTCACTGGCACATATTTCTGTTCTTCAGAAGAGCAGCTCTGGGTGGGTGGGCCATCATGGTACAGATGGAGGGACCCTCTGCGGCTGGACAGCCCCTTCCTGTACTCCCTGGGAGCTTATGGTTCATCCTCCATGGCATGAAGGAGACTAGAAAACTAGTCAAAAGTGATGATGGTTTCTGTGAGAAGGTAAGTGGGCAGGGCAGTCCTGGGACACTCTCAGGCTTTATATGAGGCAGAGAACAGAACCAGAACATCACTTTTTTGCAACCCTAAAGAAATAATGGGGCCAGATCTTGTGCATGGATGGCTCCCAACATTACTGACAGAGCGACTGGAAACATCAGTGTGCCTGTTGGTGGCAGAACTCACCGCCACTTGGGACACAGTCTACCCTAAACTGGATTGATGGCTGGCATACAGGAAACACAGGTGTCAAAGGAACAGGACACACCACAGCACGGGATGTAATCAATAATTTCCAAACTGTGGGAAACTGTGTAGCTAACAACCCAACCTCATCAAAGAATAAATTGCAAGGAAAAAGAAAACCAGAGGGGGGATTCATAGATTAAAAGTCTGAGCAACCAATGATAATGAGTGGGATTTATTTGGATTCTGATTTTAAAAAATATTTAGGAGATTAAAAGAAACTGTAAAAAAATGGCATTCGTGAGATCAATGAAAGTTTGAATATTGATTTGATATTTAATTCTATTGAAGAAATAGCATTAATTTTGGGTGTGATAATGATGTGGTGGTTATTATGTGAAATTTGAGTCCTTTTAGAGACGTATCCTGAGGTTTTGATAGATGAGTTGGCATGCTCTCTTGGGCTTCACACCATGTGGCGGGGAGGAAATGGGTAGTGGTGTGGGCTGCTGGCGGTCAGCGCTGATGATGAGCATGGGGGGGCTTTCATACCATTCTGCCAGCTTTTGTAAATATTCAAATTCTTCTTAATGAAAAAGTGTCCCCACTTTCTTACTGACAGAACTATGGAGGAGAGGCAGAATTTCTATCATCTTGACTCAAAATCCATTTCCCCACAGAAATACCAACTTGCATGAGGCTTTGCTTTGAAAGTATAACCATGCGCTACACATTTATTTGGCTTTGGAAAACAAAGTAAGAACACTATGCCTAGTATTATTACGAGAGCTTTCTTGACATTTGATAGTGGTAGTAACTTAACTATGCTGTCCCATTTCATGCTTAAGAACAACCTTTGTGGTAGGAGGCATTAGGATCCCCGTTTTGTAAGCGAGGAAACAAGAGATTCAAAATGGCATTATAACTTGGCCGCTGGCAAGTGGCAAACTGTGAGGTGTGACCAGGCAGGACTGAACGTGCAACCCTTGATCTCAACCACCAGACTACATTGCCTCACCTGGGGACCAAATCCCAAGGAAGGGACCCAGAAGTACAGAAATCAATCCTCACCAAGTCCAGGTATGCCTCATGTTCCCTTAAGGTTTCTATCTACTTGGCCAAACCGAAATTGCTTTTTGACCTTCAGACAGAATGTTTAAAGTCATCCACCCAGGAGGCAGCTGACAACTCTAATATATGCGTTTTTTAACTGCTGGTATTCAGTTTTATATTTTTAATTGAATGTTTTAAATTTTGTGCTTGCACCCTGAAGCTATTTTATTGTGGAGCATGCAATTTTATAAATCAGATTTTATAAAACCCCATGATTAAAGCCTCTGATTGCGGACAGGGATGGCTAAAGAGCAGAGATTTCAATTTAGAACTTGCGACCAGAATTTATGCAGAAAATTCTGTGAGCACAGTAGCTGCCATTCCCTGTTTTATTTGTATCCTGCTGGTTTGAACAGCTGGCAGGCTGGGAAAGTTGAGGCATCAGCAGAAACACACCTCATTAGCTTTCACACTGGGCACAGTTTGGGGGAGAGGAGAGAATTTGTTCACAGTGTTATCTTAATGTCCACATGCCCTATCAGCAACACATGGGCTTTATGATGGCTTGGTAGAGGGGTGCAATGGTCACAAGATACATATTAGCAAAATTCCTCAACATTCTTTCCCTTTAGACTAACTCTGGTGTAAGCCCTCCTTATTTTGTAAAGCCCCCAGTGAGTGCACTATGGGATATGCTGTTTCTAAATTTGGATTCAAAACCCAAGACCAATGTTTAATATACAGCAGACAGTCAATTCTTCTGCAAAAATCGACTGATTCACCCTTTCAAAGGGGAAGAAAAGGACTCTTGACTCTTAGGGAACTCAAACTTAGGGCCTCAACAAATTTAAAAAAAAAGTGAAATAATCAAATTTAAAACACATTGAAAGAAGATGTGTGTATTGTTGAGACCTCCCCCTATTGCTGAGACCACTGATTTCCTAATGGTTTTGCTATTTGAGAGGAGGAGCAAGATGTCTTCAGACACTCTCCCTTTGGAGTCTAGAAACTCTGAAAGGCCTTTGGGCCAACTCTGGTTTTCATGGGAGCCCATCAATTGGTATTTTAAGATGGAAGGTGAGTATTGATTTCTTCAATCAAGGTTATAACCAGGGTGACAACCAAGGTTATCAAGGTGATAACTAATTTCTTCGTCAGTTATCCTGTGGTAATCCTACACCAGGCTACTCTAGAAATACTCTCTTCCAGTAACAAGACCCAGATATCAGGTCCACACTGACCACTGGATAGCTCCTGAGGGGAAGGCTGGATGCCATATTGAGTGGACTGGCCACTGACTACTTACAGCCCACAGTGGACATCAGCTGAGCCAGCTCCTACATTTACTGTTCATGAAATGTCTGCCAGTGGCCACGCTGATTTCTCAAAAAAGGTCTCTTGGACACTAGTGGCCGGAACTAATTTTTGTCAGACTTTAGTAGAAAAGACACTTTGTCATGTCAAATTCCAGACCACTACCTGACACGTCCAACTGGCAATTTCTGATCATGTGGTACTTTCTTGCCCCCTGAGAAGGTAGTCACAAATGCTGGGGAAAGTATGGGTCAATTTAGAATGAAACAGTTCCCATGGGGTCCATCAGCTGCAGCATGGAATGGCTCTGCATTATTTACGAGCTCCTCATCTCAATGGGACTTGGCAAAAAGATGAACCAGGAGGTTCACAGCCATGGTGCTTACATTTTGCTTTAGAGTATGGGAAACACCAGCAATATAATTCTTGAAACACACAGGAAGCCTCCCAGACTCGGGGGGGGGGGGAAGAACCTATGGAGTGGTGGTTTCTAAATATATCCACAAATTCTTTGAGACCCCTCCTTTCAAATGGTGAAGCAGACCCTCTGAGCGTGGGCTAGACTCACTTCTAATAAACAGAACAAGGCAGAAGTGACAGCGTGTGACTTGTGAGACCAGATTAGAAAAGGCACTGGGGGTCCTTCTTGTTCTCTCTTGACTCACTTGCTCCCATGCTGTGGAGACACTCAACCAGCCCTAAGGAGAGGCTCATATGCTGAGGAACTGAGGGCTCCAGCCAACAGCCAACGTTAGCTCACAAGCAGGTCATTTTGCAGACCCAGTTAAGTTGATGACAACTACCCCAGCCAATCTCTTAACATTGTACAATCTCAAGGAAGAAAGGAAAACCCTGAGCTAGAACTCTCTGGTTATGTCCTCTTGGATGCCTGACTCAGAAACTGTAATTAGATAATACATGCTTGTAGTTTTAAGACACTACATTTTGGGCTCATTTGTTACACAGCAGTAGGTGACGAATATGATATAAATAATGCAAGTCTGCAGGTATTCAGTCCATGGTTTTAGTTATCTCTTAATTAGCTCTGGTCCCATCTTCGTCACCCTACAGAGAAACATGACTTAGTGAGTTTTACCTCCTTTCCTGTTATGAAAGAGATTGAAAACAGCCCAAAACTTGGTTGCCAGATATTAAAGGGGGGTACAAGGATTTGAGAGGTTTCTCAAATTAAACACTTAAAGCTTTGATTCCATTATCACAGGGGGGTTTGAAGGGTCTTTGCTATTGCCATGGATCAGAACTTTCAGTACTGCATGTAGGTCTGAGGGAACCGAGGAGACTGTGATCATCAGCACTGAGAGCCAGCTTGCTACCTGCCCTGCCCCCATTCCTTTTTCCACATTATCCCGTCATGCTCGATGTAGGAAAGAGTTTTGGGAAAGAAAACTGAGAAGGCATGTTACTTACTTCATGATGACAATATAGATGAGATACATCAGCACGAGGACTAACGACTCCCACCTGTGTAAAACCAAGAATGGCTAGTTAAAGAAAGTCATCACAGGCAGATGTGCAACACACCAGCCGATCTCGAAACATCCATGCCACATGGAGGACAGTTACACCTGGCAAGCAGGGCGAGGAGAAGCCACATGTGCAGACGGGTTACAAGTATTTCCTGGTCTGTAGACACAGCTTCCAATGGGATTGCTTTCGTTCTCTACCTAAAAGGAAAATGCTCCTTCCCTTCCGTTATTCACTCACCTGAAAGTTCTCTGAGAGCACAAGTCTACCATAATATTGCTGATTATAGGCCTGTATTTATAAGCCCGCCCATAGCTTAATCATTCACTAAAACTATTCAGATATATTTATAAAGAAATATAGAGAAATTGACAGGGATGACCCAGGGATTGCTGGACAGGAGAAGACAGGCATATGGAGAGAGGGAGGGGAAGGGGGAAGAGAGAAAGGGAGAGAGAAGGAGGGAAGGAAGAGGTTGGGAGAGGAGGGAGAGGAAGGAAGGGAGAGGAGGGAGGGAAAAAGAGGGAAGGAGAGAGAGGGAGAGAGGCAGAAGGAGGGGGGAGAGGGAGAGGGAGGAAGATGGAGGGGGAGGGAGAAAGTGAGGCAGGAGGAGGGAGAAAGAGGGGGGGAAGAGGGAGGAAGGGAAGGAGGGAGAAAGGACACCTGGGCAGGGAAAGTGCCAGCAGAAAGGATAAGAATGGACAACTGGAAAATGGTCAAGAGAAAGTAAAAAACCCAATGAAATGTACCTTGAGGTTCTGATAATTTGAATACTCCTATTTTATTCATTTTAGTAACTTCCAGTTTCAAAACCAAGGAATTTGATTTCTAAGTTCCCCTTTTAGCTGTAGAATTGAGGGAGTAATTCTGGTTTTGTGAAAAGGTTACTGGTGAATGGTCTATGAAGAAATTCTGGGTTATACCTTCCTTTTCTGTTTTCTTCTCAAGTTCTATGTCTAAAACCTGGTCCTTGGGGAAGGATGTGGTCAAATTCAAAAAGGCCACACACAACGGTTTTTGTTGTAGTGGTGTTTATGACCCCAAAGTGCTGGAAAACAGAGAGACAGTTGTAGGAGGGGAGGCTGGGTCCACCTGTCGCAGTAAGTCCATCCCACACATTGGTTCCAAATCACTATGTAAGCTGTGTATGTGTATCTGGTATAGAACGTGCTCTTGGTGCTACCAAGAGAAGAAAGTCAGGGGGTTCAAATCTCTCTCCCTTCCTCCACATTTCTCAGCTCCTCTCTCAGCAAACCTTCTCAAAACCTCACATGCCCTGCATTGTAGCACCTCCCACTCACTGGGCAATTCCTTGAGTCCAATATCCACAGTTGTCCATCCCCTGACACACTGGTCCAGGGCACCAGCCACCTCCATCTGCACGTGCCCAGGGATGGTTCTCTGCCACCCTGTTCAATGTCCCTGCAGCAACTGAAGGCTGACCACCTGTCCTCATGCATGCAACAGTCTCTTCTCCTCACTTCTGAGAGGCCACATGGCTGGTTTTCCTCTTGTCATCCCCCTAACTTCTCCTTCCCTCCACCTCCCCCACTTTCCCAGGTGAACCTCTAAATATGGGACCCTCTTCTCCTTTTACCTACACGTTCTCCCTGGATGACATCATCTCATCCTCCTGCTGTAAACACCAGCTGACATCTCCACCCCACACCTCTCCTTGGCACAGGTGCCTATACCCACAGTCAACATGGCTTCTCCATGTGGCATCTACGACGTCAGAACAGAATCTGGAATTCCTACTTCCTGGCTTCATGCTCCCTGGGCTTTGCCACCTTAATCAACTGGACCACTCCCTGCCTGGTCAAGCTCCAAATCTGGAAATCAGTCTGGAACCCTCCTTGACCCTTGCCTTACATGCCTCGGAACCCCACGTCTGAGGTATTTCCTGAATTGTTGGCTTCAGCCCTCCCCACTGCTACCCGCCAGGCCACCTGAATAGCAGCCTCTACACTGGTGTCTGTGAGGCTACTGGATCATATCATTCTTTTGTTTCAATCTCTCCAGCTGCTTCCCAACACACTTGAAAAGAGAAAACAAAAAGTACCTCCTGTCTGTAAAACCCAGTTCTTCTATTCCTTCAGTTGTCTGCCTGGTCTGTGCTCCATCCCACTGGCCTCCCTTCGTTTGCACACACCAGAAGCTTCTCTCCTTCTCCAAGGGTCTTTGCACTCACTGCTCCTTCTGCTAAGAATAGTCTTCCCTTCACTTCTTGGCTGGTCCCATTTATCCTGCAAATGCTGGCGGAAATGTCACCTCTTCCAAGAAGTCTTCCCTGCCTACTCCTACTTCTCTATCACAAGACCTTGAGTATGTTCTTTAAATTGCTGATCAGTCTGTGCTTCCCTTGTTTATTTATTCATTGCTTATTAATGCCTGTTTCAGGCAGTCACTTGACAACACTCCTCATTCTTGACCCCTGCCTTAGCTATCTGGTTTCTCATTTTCCAGAGGCTTAGAGCAGATCCCCTGATAGCTGACTCCCCTTCCCTCCCCAGCTGCCCACTATTCTCTTCTCCCCAGCACAGGAGAGCCCTCAGTTCATCTGCATAGGATGAGACTTCCCTTAAAATCCATTTTCAGTTGCAAGAGACCTTTTGAACATGGTCCTTATTGAAACCAGTGTATGTGTGGCATAAAGCTAATTAGGAAAAATGAGGCTTAGTCACAGTGTTCATTTCGAAGGCAGAGATTCTCGAGATCCAAAGGGATGCCATGTAACTTGGATGCATTTTAATAGACTCAAGAAGGGAAACAGACCCACATCAGTGAACTATCTCAGCTAGGCTGAATGAAGTCCAGCTCTTTGTAAATAGGTAGATAGATACTCTCTAATTCATCTAGAACTTTTTATCGTTTTTTTTTCCCCTCAAAACAAGCCCTTCCATTGTAATGTTCAAGTAAAATTCCGTTTTGTTACATTTTGGGGATGCCCGTGAGATGGGGGTTCTCTGCTTCTGCTGACCTTTCAGGTTTGCTTGGCTGGTACCCAGACTCAGGGCTCGCCCAGCGCTTCCTCCATAGGAAATACACGAGGCTCTGTGAGGCCCTGATACTAGCTAGCTGCTGTCCTCTCTGCTTTGGGGCCTGAGTGTTTGATCCAGTCGTGGCTTCATGCGCCTCAGAGTCCCAGGGATTGCCCCCGCCCCTGCCCTGTGCTGTGAGTGTCTCCAAATGACCCCACGATTACATGTCAACTGTCTGCCTCCTCTCTAGTCCCAAAGAGCCCCAAGGTGAAGGCCGAGTTTGGTTTTGTGTTGTGTGTCTTGTTCTGGAACAGAGCCTGGGATTCAGGAGGTGTTTAGGAAACAGGTGGAATTGGACAGATTCCAAACACAGACCTCTAAAGTCACATGGCTTTTGTCCCCCCTCCCCCCCACTCCTCCTGGAGCCGGTTCTCCGCCTGCCTCTCCTAACCACAACCCATCCACTGTCCTCCGAGGACCTGGTCTTGTGGCATGATCTGGGTTTGTTCCTTCCCTTCCTGCAAACTTCCATTTGGAACCACCTTCAACTGGCCCCTGGTTCTCATGCCCAAGATTGTTCTTTCTTGTATTGGAAGGTTTAGTCCCTGTTCCTCCCCATTCTCACCCAGAGGGCATGGCTCTGCTTTCCTAACGGTGGTCCAGAACACTCCATGCTTGTTCCAAGTGCCATACAGGTAGATATTCTCCAGGTCATGTTCCCAGGCCCTCTTTTCTCTCCCAAAGTTATAGCTTGAGGCTCAAAGAAGAAACAAGAACATCAACCTGGATCCTTTTGTTTTCTTGTCAGGCATTCAGACTCACTGAAGACATATTCCAAATTCCTTCTGGCAATATTTTGGGTCTTGCTAGGCTGTTATTATGGATTCAGGGTGAACATCCATCCTAACTGGTAAATCTCCAATGTTTTCTATTTTAAATGTCTTTAGGGGTAGTTTTCTAACTTAAAAGCATCAAACATATATTCGCCTGCCTCTTGCTTGCTAACAAGAGTCTATGAGGTTGAGATAGCAAATGAGGACCCCTGGATCTGCAGGAGAGTGGACCCACTTCTGGGATAAATAATGATCTGTCTAGAGTTGTAATTCTATTCTGCCTGGCCATTTATTGGTCAACGTAGACCCAGCTGGGACCAAAGAGGTACAAGGAGGAAAGGTGTTCTTCCTGCTTCCTCCTTCTTGCCTTCAATCCAGACTCAATGCCTGAGACAACAGCAGTCCTCTTGGGACCATGAGGGAAAGGCCAAGAGAAATGTGGAGGCATCATACCACCAACAGCTAGGGTACTTGTTATGTAAGAAAAATAAACCACTGATTCTTTAACCCACTAGATCTGGTTTTCCACTGTAAAAACCTTCTGCCTGCCCTTTCTTGGCTGCTTGAGATCTGTTGCAGAATGCTGATTCAGGAGTGGTAGAGGCATCTAAGCTGTGGATGATGGGGAAAGGCTACCCCTATGTATTGTACTTCACAAGGCTCCTTTAGTCCTACAGAGTACTCTTGTTTCAGAAGATACACAACTGAAATTAGTTTCCTTTTGAGGATTTGGGATGAACTGGTTACCTCCCTTGAAATCAGTCAGACATGATGGAGTTTTCTACAACAAGTAATGGAATTCACTATTAAAAGCATTCGTGAAATATTGCTGTGTTCTAATTGCACAGGTTGAAGAATCTGACATTAAAGGGAGAAATGAGAGAAGTCAGCACCTAGACACATCCTTTCAGCAAAACAAATGCTTGTTGTTGGTTGGGTATGAAAAATACCCAATATTTTTGGTGGACAGCAAAAAATACCTTAAAGTTCAATATATTTTGCATTTAAATGAGGAGCTAAGATCCCTGGAAGTCCCAGAGCAGTTATGGTCCAGTGGTGCAGACTTGAATCTCTTGGCCTCACTCATGTGGAGAATGTTCTTCATTAGCCTATCCACATAACAATAATTACATAACAGGTTGGCAGTCTGCGAATGATGTCCTGGTGCCATGAAGCCTCCCCCTTGTTCTTCCCTGCAGCTACTCCTGTGCATGAGCTAGGATTCTAACCCAGCCCAGGCTGGAACCAAACATACTTGGGAATTTGCAACTCATTCTTTCATGGCCTTCCTGTCTCCTTCTCCATGTGGGAGCCCCGATGCTCACGCTGAGGGCCTGAGGACCTCAGGATCTGAGCCCTTCAGTGCAGGCCCAGGGTTCTAACCTCATAACATCCACAGGAGATCTGGCTTTTGGAATGTAGAGGAAACAGCCTCTCTCTTTCTTGCTTCACACTATCTGAAAGATCCTAAAAGACATTTTGAGGGTAAGGACTGAAATAAGCCTGTTTTCATAGCAAAGCCAGGGAGGTAGAGAAGAGAGAGCTCTCTCTAAGAAAAACCAACAGTAATCCACCCATAGCTATACTTTCTTAAGGTTTTCCGTGCAAAAACAGCAGAAAAATTCCTGAGATCGAATGCGATCATAACTTATCTTTATGGCAGTGCTGTGAGCTAAGAATAGCAACACTGAGCAACACTTAAGCACCTACTGTTTGGTAAGGTAGAGTGGGGGTCGTGCTAAGTGTGCCATCATTTGGAGTAAGAATAGTTTTGCAAGTTTTCTTGTGCTGCACTCCACCCCCCAAGAACATGGGAAGAAGATGTCACCACTATTCTTGGATACTTCGTCCAGACAAATCCCATGAAGAGGCTCTTCCTGACCACTGACCTGAGGTGCTCCCAGACATCTTAATCCCTTTTAGCCTGCTGGTCTTGGCTTCTCAAAGAAGACCTTCTTATTTCTTATGCGTTGACATAAAAATGGTGTGCCTTAAAGCATGTTCTCCTAGCAGTCTCCTTCCTACTCCTCTTGGACAGAGGAAAGAGAGTTGGCAAAACTACACTTAACACCTTGGCACGGTGAATCACATTTACCATCAATGGGGCAAGTTCCTCTGCCATGTCCAAATTCTGAAAATCAGAGATCCTAAGACAAAGAGATGTCACTCCCACAAACGGCTCTGCTCATATGCCAAAAGCTCATTCTAAGCTTTAAATAATACCATAAAAATTGGTCTGCTTACCTAGTTGGTCTACTAGCTATGCTGTCACACTATCCCACAGATGCTATTTCATGTTTCTCTACATCTACAGATCAAATATTTGAGAATAACGTAACAAGAATGCACAACGCACTCAATTTCTATTTCCATTCCAAACATAACTGACTTGCTCAAAACTCACCTGAGAAATGATGCATAGTTGGCCCAAATGTAAATGTTCTCATAGATGTAAACTGGCTAAAGCTTTGTTATCCATTAAAAAAAAAATCACTGATTTTTCAGAGATCTAAGATAGTCTTGAATGTCAGATAGAACTTTAATGGGTAAAAGACAACAGAAGTGCCTCCATCTCTGGTTCCTGAAACACACATGGTATTTGGAATATGCCAACACAGTCTGCACAAGATCTGTAAGGAACAGGAAATGGCTGACTGCAGAAAGCCCCGTTAAATCACCCCCTCTCACCTGGATGACAAAGACAGTGGGATATTATCATCCCAAATGGAAGGCCACCACCCCCGCCAGGAAAGCTCTGTGAAAGCTGATCTAATGTCTTTGTTGAGGTCCACAGGGGGGTCCCAAGGAGGGCTAGTTGTTCCAAGCTGCCAGGACATTCCCCTTTCTTTCCTCAACCCTGACTCTAGTCTTCAATATATATTCGCCTCTGCCATACAGCCAGGGGGAACTGGAAGGGAAAAGGAGGTACTTACCAGGAAACTTGTTCATCATAAATGAACTGTAAAAAAAATAAATAAATAAAAAGGACAATTAGACATGCACACACATGTGCGCGCGCACACGCGAGGTCTGCACGCACACGCATGCGCGTCGCCCACCCACGTAGCCAGTTTGGCAGGAATCAGCCTGGGACTGGCCTGCAACACCGAGGATCTGCTGACCAACTTCCCTCTGTGCTGGTTCCGCTTCCTGCTAAAGTTAGCGGAAGGAGGTGTTGTTGGCAGGCTGGGGCGGCATGTTGCGGAGGGGAGAAGCACCGGGTCATCCCTCCTTTTTGCAACTTCTGTCCAGCGGTGGACAGACAGGGAAGCATGACCACCTTTCTGTGCGGAGCACGAGGCGCTGTTGAATTTAAATCCCGAAGGGGCTAGGGGAGCCTGGCAGGTGCTTCCAAACATCAGCAACTTGGGGGCCGCCTGTAAGATGTTTGCACGTCTCGGGGCTCTCTACAGCGCCTTCCAGCTTTTAGTCAAGCCCTCGGACTTCTGTGTACTCAACGTTTTTCTTTTGGTTGACCTACTTTTTTGTTTCCTTAAAAGAGTTCATTTTCAAAGGAAACTCTGCATCACAACCAGAAGCAGAGAATCCTCTCGGCTTGCCGCCCTGTGCAAAGGGTGGGAAATCAGCGCAGTGACTACAAGCCCCAGGGGGCACCGCAGGCTGCCCGCGCCCTGGGCCACGGGCCTGCCCGTTCCAAGGAGATTCGCGAGGGTCAGAGGTGGCTGGAAAGATGGACCAGTGCCAAACGGAGGTGTCCCCCCGGATCAGCTAGGATCCACAGCAACGATTGAATTCGCTTAGGCCAGAGCCCAAATCACTTCTCACTTTGGGGGAAAGAGTGGTGTCACCCTGGCCCTTTGATTTATACAGGGAAATGGAGCCACAGAGAACATAAGGAATTTGGGGTGTTCAAAGAGCTGAAGGTGTGCAATTAGCTGCAGAATTGGTTCTAGAACTCAGACCTGGTTCTTAAGTCTTCTTTCCATGACACATTTCCTTCCCCAGAAGGTGCGCTGTTGAAAAGTGGAAACTAAGGGTTGCTTCATTGCTCGCTCTTTCCACCTTCATGGGATATGACTGCTCAGGGTACCACCAGCTCTGAGCGCTTTTTTTTCCAGGGGCCTGTGGCCCTCCAAGGCAGACTCCAAGGCAGAAACCTCTGGGTGCAAGGGGTCATTACCGCATGGAGATGGTACACCCAACAGAAGACACGGACATCACTTCCGTCCCGAGAGAGGATAATAAGCAGCATTTGTGAGACACGCAGAGAAAACTGCACAGCCGAACAGGTGCGGCTCCGAAAGGACTTCTCTCCAATTATCCCAAAGGTGCAAAGAGAAGATGAGAACAAAGGGGCCCCACTTATTTGTAGCTCACACTTCCTGACAAGACACTGAAGAAGACGTTGGCTTCAGCAACTTTGTGACTCTTGTGATCAGATTCAACAGGTTGACATTTGGATGAAAATGTCAAAGCGGAAAGGGAAGAGAATTAAAGAAATAAAGGAAACCATCCTGCAATCCAGGCTGGGTGGTCTGCAGTCCACCCCAGAAGGCATTCACAGATTCTTTTGTACCAACACTGGCTTAAAAAAAAAAAAATCCATTGTCAAGAAATCAGGGAACAGAACAAATGATTTAAGTTGGAAAATGTTTCTATTAATTGAAGTTAATTTAGTCAGTGCTGGAGCAATCAATGCTCGCCCCCAGGAGAGCACAAGATACTGGTAGAGTTTATTAAAGCGCCAATTTAATTTTTGTCTGAAAGACGAAAGGGAAGGCAGGTGATACGGCATAACAGAAAAGCAGCTTTCAGGAGGCCCTTATTCTGTGCCATCTGAGTGACTTGTGGGGGCACAGATCAATAGGTCTTTAACGATTATTTCAGTGATCATATTAATGGGGAAAAAGCAGCATAGGCGGAATTGTGCAAAGGATCCCAAAACGAGAATGGGATTTACAGAGAACACAATACATCAGGGAGTAGTGAGGTCTGGACTAGATGCACAACTAAGGACATCATGAGCCTGATGTTAAGGTATCGGGGGTGGCCAGGGAGGTCGGGGGTGGGAATGGGGTTGAGGGAGGCAGACAAGGAGAGAGGCCGATGGTCTTGCTAGGAGTCCTAACAGATGGAGGTGATCTGGAAGCCTCCAGATAATTAAGCAGTGATACCCCCTCACTGACCACTTGTGGCCAGGAGCCCTCAGATGCCCGGTGCCTAATGAGCAAACATTGCCTGGGATTCATCTGACTTCTTTTAGAGGGCTGGGTGGAAAAATGAAAGGACTCAGGAAAAAGAACAGTAAAACAGAGAAGAGGAATAGAAGCCAGTCCTTTAACCTACATGGAACAGGCTTGTTGGTGGTGGGAAAGGAGGTGGACGGTGAGTTACGAATAACTCTGGACCTTGCTGGCGGCACCTGGATGAGGCTGGGCCAGGGACTATCCCCCACTCAGAAGACTGAAAATGAGGAAATCGACACTGCTCACAGCATATTCCCTCTAGTTCCTGGACCACCCTGACAGAGTGCTGGAATTGCTCTGTCTGAAAAGTCCTAAAATGACAAGGACAGGCGACTTTCTCACTTGATGCTGCTGATGGTTTCAGGGAATGGATCTGTTACTTTGCCAACAGGTATCTTATTTCATTTTATTCCGTTTTATTTTATTTTATATTCTTAAGACAAATACTGCATATCCTTCTGTATTTCCATGTTCTATATGTGGGTAAAATAAGATGAAACAACTACCTTACTAGGGTAGAAAACCCCCTGAAATAATTTATATAGGTACTTGGAAACAAGAAATCGTGCCCCCACTTCCACCCGGTCACCACTAGGTGGTGCTCACGTCCTACCCGCTGCCTGTCCACTCTGCCAGGGCAGGGAGGTGGTTTGGAAGGAAGTCAGATCAAGTCCATTTCAAGGCTCCATTAAACCTCCTGGGAGGAGGATAAACAACTCAAGACAGACAGCTTCCTAACAGAGTCTTCCACTGTTCTGGAGGCAGGATGCGTTCTGAGTTGGGGAGAGGCAGGTCCCTCAACTCATCCCACCACTCAAACCCTAGGACATGTGGCCTTTGAGGGACCTGCTGTGTGGCCTTTGGAACTGACTCACTCTTATCCCAGTTGGGTTTCTGAAAACAAGTCTTGCTTGGGAAAGCAGCCTTTCGTGCTTTGCTGCTTGTGTTTGCGGCTGCCTCCCGTGACCACATGTGGGTGGTGCAAACCAGTATCTGAGCCCCAGATTTGCTGCACACAGCGGGTCAGGGTACCTGCTCTCTGACTCCAGTGTGGTTCATCCGAAGCTACCTCTGGCTTCGCCCTTAAGCTTTCCACGTGTTCCACAGACCAGCTAAATGTGAACATATATGAACGAATTTGAAAACAAAAAACAAAAAAACAAAACAAGAAAAAACCCAAACCACTCTTTTCCTTCAGGCCTCAGAGAAACAGTTGGGTACCATGGAAACCAGCTTTCAGCCCTGGTGTCTGCTCTAGAATTCTTCTGAGAGAGACAGGCTTACATCAGGCTGGTGAATCCCTGGATGACAGAGCATCCCAGGGAAATGCGAAGGAAGTGGCATGCTCAAATCAGAAGAGCAGGGAAAACAAGGGCCAGGAATCGCCCAGGTGTGTGGGCAGCAGACAGCCGGGCTGGCTTCTGAGCAGGGAGGCAGGTGGCTGTCCCCACATTGCATGTCAGTCCATGGAGCAGCTTACTCTAAGCCGTAACCACGGAGCAGAAGCAGCCGCACTGAAGAACTTAAAATTTCCATAGCTTGTGCTTTCATCACTGGCGCCATTAGAATTTTAAACAGCGAAAGTAACAGGAGAAAATCAACACCACCATTCTCTTTCAAGACACTAAAATCCTCAACAATCTTCCCTCCCTAGCTGGAAATGGAAAACGCACCCCTCCCCCTCCACTTCTCACTCAACAGCATGGAGGCTCCCTCAGGAGTTGTGGCCAAACGGGGACAGGGGCTGCAGATGGCGTTCCTTCTGAGGAGAGGAATCCAATGGAATGCACTGGAAAGCTGCTGTTAAGCACCAGTATGGTTTACACTTGAAAGTTTTTTTTTTTTTAATTTTAAAAGATTTTATTTATTTGACAGAGAGAGACACAGTGAGAAAGGGAACACAAGCAGGAGGAGTGGGAGAGGGGGAAGCAGGCTCTCCACTGAGCAGGGAGCCTGATGTGGGGCTTGACCCCAGGACCCTGGGATCATGACCTGAACCAAAGGCGGACACTTAATGACTGAGCCACCCAGGCGCCCCTACACTTGAAAGTTAAACGGGATTTTCGACCTCCGGATCTCTAGCAGGCCCACAACAGTGGTGGGGGCTGCAGGAGTGTAGGAAATAAGGACTTCTTCAAGGCGGGGCTTGAACAGAGCTGGTCATCTCGTGTAAATATGCAGAAGCAGGCTATGGAAGGAAGGAAAGCAGATAATGGGATGGATTTAGGATACAGGGGAGGATAGTTGCCAAACCAAAAGGGCTCTGTTTGCTGAGCAGTGCAAAACCAAACACAGGCACATAACTGAAACTTCCAATTCGTTTTCCTTGTGAAAGAGAAGAGGGTCCTCTGTGCATCCCATAGTCTGGCTGATCCATGTCCCTGCTCTAGGACTGAGCACAAGGGAGACCCAACTTCCTGGTATACCCCAGGAGCCTTTAGAGCACGCCCTTCTTCCTCTCAGTGGCAGCGATAATGTATGACCAGTGGCAGGCAACCCTTTGTATGACCAGAGTTGATTTGTTTAAGGAACTTAAAAAAGTCTCACATTCATTCCCTCTGACAATCTTCTAGCCACTGTGGTCAGTTCTCACTTTCCCAGAAGGAGAGCTGAGATGTAACAAGGGTACCATGAGTGTAAGAGCCTCAGTGTTGCTGAACTGGAGAGAAGAAGCTACCTCCCTGCAAGGAAGGGGTCCGAGGAGGGAGGACAGGAAGCCAGACGGGCAGGGCCCTGGAGGCCAGCATTGGAGGCAGGGGGAAACGACAGTCGTCAATCAACTAGTGTGAGATGTCTTTTCCCTCACAGATAGGGTGACAGAAGAAGATTCTGGATCATTTATGATCAGCTGTCTTAAGAAAAAAGGAATCAGGAGAGGGAAGGCAGGAGCTATTCCTTTCAGTCTAAGAATGTGAAGTAAGAGCAGCAGGCATGCCTCTCTAGTGGATGACTGCATAGCTGGTGAGGGACAATCAGGATGATTAGGGGGTGGGAGAGGGTGGAGAAGTACTATCTTCGACACCTGCAACTCCCCGACCCTAAGCAAATCCCTGAAAGTCTGGGGCCTCAGTTTTGCCATCTACAAAATGGGACCCATGCAATTAGCTAGCTTGCAGAGTCGTGAGTATTGAACTGGAAATTCTTCATGGACAGACCCAGTGTAGTACCTAGTCCTGTAGGAATTACTGAGTCTATGCAGGTTAAAACTCAGGGATGCCTGGGGCAACGTGTATATATTTTCTCTGGATGGATCTGCTCTCTACAACTGTGCTCTCCGGTATGGTAGGCACTAGCCACATGAGGCTGCATAAATTTCAATTAACTAAACTTCAGTTCCTTGGTTTCATTTCCTGCATTTCCTAGAGCTTAATAGCCACATGTGCCCGCTGGCTACACCACTGGACAGTGCCACCCAGGCCATCTCCAGTGGCTGGACCAGCTGAGTTGTCTCTATCCGCACAAAATCCCATCGAGAAGGGGATCTGCAAGTAGCCCCTGGAGGAAGGGAGGGAAGTGTTACCTCGGAGGGGCCTAGCTGCTGTGCCCGTGCTCAGGGGGCTCCCAGGGCCCCCAGCTGGTGCCAGTGGCCCACCTGGCCCCTCTCCAGGTACGCAGCCCTCCTGACTCTGGATCTGAGAGCCAGTTCAGCCATCTGGACCTGTCTCCAAGGCCTATCCACTCCCCCAGGAGGCTTCCCTTCTCCTATTGCTCACAAACCCCATCTCAAAGCGGAGATGAAGAGTAAAAATAAAGTATTCCTTTTTAGGGCAGCTGTTAGACTGAGGATGTCATGAATCATTTGCATTTATGTAAATTACACGATTATGTAAATTACAGTAACATTTCAATAAAAGAGGCTGTGGGGCCTGCTGGAATTTGGAGAAAGGGTAGGGCTAGGCAGAGCTGTCTGTGGTGGTGGACATTGGCTGGGGGTGAGTCAATCAAATGGGAGAGAAGAAGCAAGACGGTCTGCAAGGCTGTGGAGACTATCTGCTGGGTAGACGCACGCAAGGACATGCTCCAAAGAACCCGGAATGCTTTTGGGACCTCAAAGGTGACACTTGTCTTGTAGTGATAGTCTTGAATCATGGGGCGAGCCTGCTGGGCCACGTTCAGCTTCTCCAAGGAGTGAGGCTTTGCTTTATAGGACGTCGCCACGGCCAAGTGTGGGGTTGGGGGGGGGGGACGCCTGATGGGGCAGGAAGGGCAGAGAGACACACACTACATGTTTTTGATATCATAACTGCTTTCAACAGTAACATGTTCCTAATTTCCTCTGCTTTGTCCCTGAAACACAACATCAAACCCACCAGAAAATAGCACAGAGCTAAGGTAGGTGAAACTCAAATGCCCAAGGGAACGAGTCCATTATCTCTAAGTTAATGGTCTTAAGTTCTGTTGGTTTCAGCGTGTGTTTGCCTTCTGGTCTTCTCCAGCTCAAACCTGCTACAGACCCAGGTAATCGCGACTGTCTGTGTGCTCCTAGCCCAGCAACACGAGCATCCCTCCCAAAACTGTCTCCCTTGTTCTCTGGGTCCCCATGCCCCATGGTTCATTCTTTGGGCTCCTCTGCCCGGGGCTGTAGGGGCTGTAGGGGCTGTAGGGCCTCTCACAGGGATGTACAAAGAAGAACAACTGGTCCCACTTAGGTGATTCTCATGCACCCGCTTAGTTAGGACTGTCCTGTGGGTGAACAAGATCTTTACCGCATCACCTCCGGAGACCTGCAATTCTGTCTTCTGAACAGTTCAGAACCATAAAAGGGGGAGAGGGTTAAAAAACAACAACAACAAAAAGCCCTAATAGTTAAATTGTATGGATAGTTGGCAATTATTTGTGGCTAGGAGGAAGGCTTTTAAATACAGGAATTTTAAGGGTCCTGCCCCACTGCAGGGTCCTATAGAGAAGCCTAATATTCTATAAAGAAGACCAGAAGAAAAGTGATTTTTTTTACCATGACATTTGGGGAAAACACAGAAAGAGGAGACTAGAACACTCTGACGAAAACAAACAGCAGTTGTGGTGAGCAGCAGCCTGGGGCTGGTCCATGGGACAGATCTGGGGTTGTTGAGAAATGCACTTTGCTAAATGCTGGACTTCTGTATGGAAGACTGTTCTCCTCACCCCGGTTTCAGGTCTCATTTGAAAATGATCCTGAGAATGAACAGCCATCGGCAATCCAGCCAAATAAGCAGTCATCATGCCTCGTGTTAGAGAAACTCAACATTTCCTCTGGAAGCGGTCATCGCCAGGCAGCAGGTGGACTATCCCAAGGAAGTGGTGTCTCACTGTATTTGCTCTTGCGTTTCCCGAAGTGAGTGTGGTGCATTAGAATCGTCTGAGGGGCAGGGCGGGTCCTGGCTGCAGTGGAAGTTCCTGGGTCCTGCCCCGGAGCTTACTGGATTAAGATCTCTGGGTTGTGCTCTTTCCATCAGCATGCTGGGTGTTTCCAGGGCATACAGAAGTTGGCGGGAACACCGGTAAAAATAAGAAGAACCAAGACCAAACCCTAAGGACTCAAGCTTTTCTCTGCTATTGCTTCCTAACAGTGGAGAAATGTAATTTTTCTCCAAATCAGAAAACTCTAGTCTTCACATCTGGGCTGTAAATACACAGTCCAAATCTGCAGGGAATGGCAGAGAAATACTGGCTTTTGCGTCTTGTTGCCATATGAAGGAAACACAGAGCTGCGGCAGCCTGGGTGTCCAGTGGGCTCAGCTCTGCGATTCATGGGCCACATGCTGGGTAGAGGACAGCTTTGCCCAAAGACCCCACTTGGGTGAGTGTCACCTGCAGCCCAAGGAAGTAAAACTCTTTACTTCCTCACACATCATAATAACAATTACATTAAAAAAAATCCTGGGGATATTCAGGTAAATCCGACTGAAGACAAGTTATTTCACCCAGAGTCCAGGAGGTGTCTGTGCTGAGAACAGAAAAAGAAGCCAGTGTAGGGCAATTCACTGTTGGGAGTGGACATGCTGAGTCTGTGCTCTGGGGAAATCTCAGCTTTTGTTTTCCATCTCATAACCTCGTCTTTCTGGGAATGGTCATCTCTTTGCGAAATTCGGCAAAACAGAGAGTTGCATCTATTTATCATGTCTGCAAGCCATGCCTTTTGAAACAGTAACTTTCAAAAACCAGAGCTAGCCAGAAGGGAGGGGACCACGATTAGGAGTCAGATGCCCTAACTCCCATTTCGGTGTGTTTCTGATTCACCACCACCCTTCTTCTGGATGACTTGGCTAGCCAAGGGGGGGGGGGGGTTGGATTTGTCCCCACAGCTGACAAGGAGGCACAAGGCTGTTCTTTGTAGAGCTACCACTGGGACACCTCTGAGGACTGACTTGGAAAGGAGGGAAGGGTTGGGGGGCAGTGATGCTTCTCATTGTCATACTGACCTGCGGCAGGCCATCAGTTCCGGCCAAAGACATAAAAACCCTCAACTAAAATGGGCTATGAAGGGACACACTGGGGAGATTTTTACAAGATGAAAATCTAAAATGAAGCGAAATGGGTGTGGTGGAATTGGGAGAAAGGTCAACTTAGTATCATCCACAGGTTGGGTGGCTAGGAGAGAAATGGGGGTTGAAATACAGAAAGAGCGTCCAGTTTTGGGGAAGTCACAGTAAGTTTAGAGACATGTTGAGTTTGGGACAGGAAGATGTCCAGTAGAGAGGGGCTTCTCTGTGACTGGACCTCAGAGAGATGCCATTGCCAAAAATACAGAGTAGAGGTATTAGTACAAAGGTGGTAATGGCCATGGGAGGTGTCCTGGGAGGGCATACAGAGAGGGGAACTAAGGTCACTGGGGACCTGGGGACAGGGCACACTGACACCAAAGAGAGTTCCAGAAGAGCCCGTGAGAAAGTGAGAGGGAATGGTCAGGGGGTCCCAGGAAAACAGCAGAGGACTCGCATGGAATCAGGTAACCAGAGTCAACACTCCTGTTCTGCGCACCAAACTATCACACTGGGGTTCTGGGTGATCAAGGAGCTGGAAGAAAGAGAAGCCACTTCCATGCATAGACATCTGTTCGCTTCTTTGTCACCAGAGACCTTGAACTTGCTCCATGCAGGGGAGCTGCACATAGTCCCAAGTAATGAAAAGGATGAGTTAAGAGTCGAATGGCAAGGGGACTCAGATGAGGGGTGTGTCACACACTTACCACAATGAGCGCCACCACAGACAGCGTGTAGTAAATTGAATCCCTCAGCAGGCACCAGGAGGAAAGAGCCACAACCTGAATGAAAAGAGAAGAAGACAGTAACAGTCAGGATATTCGACGGTGCAAAGGAGAAAGCATGGCTTCTGGTGGCTCTCGCCAGTGATAAACCGGGAACACAACTTAGTATTTCTGTCTCCTGGGCTGACCCCAGTCAATCTGCCTGCAGGTATGAATTTATGGAAGGCCTTTGGGTGTATTAGTTTGGATCTTCTGAAAGACAAATTCCAAGAAGGGATTAAACCTGCAACAGTTTTATGAGGGGAAGGCACTCATAAGAGAAAACGGGGAGGCAGCCGGGGGGAAGGTAGGAGGGCCACCCAACCATGTTTTGGGTCTGACCCCTGTGAAGGAGGGAGGGTGGACATGCCCCAGGCTGCTGGGCAGCACGAGGAAGGCTCAGCAAAGCGGAGTCAAAGACCTGTGTCTCCCAGGAACCCACCAGCCTTAGCATTCCTCATGACAAGGGGATGAAGGAGCCACCCACCCTGTGTCCTTGTCAAGGCTCTCATGTTTGCTGCAGCCTGGGCTCATGGAATGAATCCAGGGCTGGACAGCCGTTGCCCTTCACAAGGGGCCTCTGCAGCCGCCTCCTTTCACCTCTATTATATGCCTGTCCTTGTTGGCACCTGACTTCTGATTTGATCAGAATTTTTTAAAACACTGATTTGCATATTTATCTGGAGAAAATGTTATTCTTAGCAGTTGGACAATGTCCCTTTAAGGATAGGATGGCTCTGCCACGATGAGGCCAGGAGACACACTGCTGGAGGCTATGACAGGCCTGGCTTGCTGTGTCCAGACTTCCTACAGGGGGAGGTCCCTGGATGAGACAAAGAGGGACAATGGAGCCAGGCTGGGCCATGGGAAGGAGAGGCTGCTGGGAAGGGGGGAGCTGTAGATGCCAGGTTAAGATCCCCGTTCTGGAGGAAGAGTCTTTTCTCCTTGGTAAGTCCTTCCAAATCACCTTTTGAGGGATACCTGTTATTTCTTTCTTTACTTTGTGGAGTGGGTCCATTTTGGCAGACTCTCACAAAGAAGGGTGGGAGAGTCTACAGAGAGGGGTTGGAAGTGCTTCTTGCCTGTCCCTCACAACTCCTTCCCACCTCCCTAGACAAGTGTCAAGCACCCCTCGGCCACAGGACCTGTCTAGCTGCCATTGCCCTTGGCCTCGTAAGTGAAGAAGGACACAGCAAATATCAGCTGTTGGCTGGGCCAATGACAGCCACATGCTGCACTAAAGACAAAGGGAAAAAAGGATTCGGGGACAAGGCAACATTTGGAGTCTTTTCTCTCCCTGACAACTGTGTCAGTCTATAAAGAAAAGATCAGGCAAAGTCAAACCAGAAAAGGCTTTCTGGATTCAAATAACATGAAAGATAGGACTTAAATAGAACCATAAATGCGTAATGAGGTCTCCTTCCATGAACACATTCTTCCATTTGTTATAGGGACACTTAGGTATTTTTCTGTTGCTGATTTTGCCTTATTAGGTCTTGTACTAGCAGATCTAAGTTACAGACGACGGGGTTGTCAAGAAGAGGGCTCATGTCACAGAAATCACTTTAGAACAAATGTAAAGTATTCTTTACCCTCTTATCATGCTCTCTCCTTGTAGTGTATGCTATTAGAATCCGTGGTCATCTACAGAATAGCTTACATTGGACTGGACCGTCCATTTTCCAGCAGGTCATAAAAGGTTGTGAATATTTATTCAGCATCAGATGGCTAGGAAAATGGACATAAAACATATGGCAAATATCAATTCTGAACTGCCTTAAAAAAATCTCTTGGGCTTTTAGTTTAAGATAACAGACTAGATACATACCCATGACCTTTGCTCTTGTTACACCAAAATAATATAATAGTAAAGGTTTTTTTTTCTTTTTAACAAGATATAAACCCCCAAGGAAAAGAGAATGTAAGGGCTTATCAAAAATTTTATTTATTTGTCAGAGAGGTGGGGGGAGAGAGAGAGATTAAACACAAGTCGGGGGGAACAGCAGGCAGAAGGAGAAGCAGATTCCCACTAAGCCAGGAGCCCGATGTGCGCCCGATCCTAGGACACTGGGATCATAACCTGAGCAGAAGGCAGATGCTTAACCTACTGAGCCACCCAAGCGTTCCAGATGCTGGAAAGCAGAAGAATGATGGAATACTCAGGTGGCAGTGGGCAAAGCTCTAGACATAGGGGTGAAGGAGGGTCTGAAGCCAGGATAACTGAAATAATATTTGAAAATATAACCCACAAATTATTTCCCTCACTTCAAGCAAACCAGTGACTATACCCCCATCACCTTAAGAGAAACAGGAAACCTGGCACTTGAAGACAGAAGTTCCAGAAAATAGAAGAGAGAAAATAATCAAATAAATATTTTTTTAAAATTCCCAGAAGTTAAGCATGTGCATTTTCTGAGTAGAATGACCTCCTGAGTGTTCAGCACAATGGACCAAAAAAAAAAGATGTACACAGAAGTATATCATTATGAATTTTCAGAATCCTGGCACAAAGAAAGAAAAGGTCCTAGAAACCACCTGAAAGAAAAAAATGGGATTACATACAGAGGATCAAAGCCAGAATGACATTTTATTTTTCAACAAAAGCACTGGGAATGAGAAGACAATGGAGTGACGCCTTTAAAATTAGAGAGGAAAATTATTTCAGCCTGAAATTCTGTGCCCAATCAAACTATTCATTAAGAGTGAGAGAAGAATAAAAACGAAAGTGTAATTGTCTCAAAACCTTTACTTCCTATGTATCCCTTCTCAAAAAGCTACTGGAAGACCACCAGTCTTGATGCTGGATACCTGAAACCAACGTAACCTTGTGTGTCCAGTATACGTCATCTAAAAAATGAAGTTGTGTCAGAAGAGAGGGAAATGGTGCTGGTAGACTGGAAAAAAGAGCTTTCACAATAAGCTTTTTAGAACTGGTTGGCTCTCTAAGCTCTGTGCATATATAACTTAAATACAAATTAAAAAATAAGAAATTATAGTTCCACTTTGATTCACTGCTACAAGATACACCTTGCATTCAGCCTACAGGCCAACTCTGGATGAGTCGTGATTATTTCATTCTCCGGAACAGCTCTCAGTTGTTGGACCATCATCAAATTTAGCTTCACATTCACAGCCCACACCGGAGTGAAACCAATTTTTTTCTATAGAAGCAATGAACCAGAAGACAAGTAAGAAGGAGTCAAACCAGAGGATAATTTCTTTCCACACTCTAGAGTGAATTAAAGCACCGTTGATGAACCTGCGGGGTCTCTATTGAGAGCTGTGACATGACCTCCCGTCTGCCTCTACCTTACGCTTCTGTGACTGCCACTCATCACAACAGCAAATATTTACCTGATGCTTTCTGCAAATCTGGGGATCCAGAAGGGTTATCTCATTCAATCCTGTCATGACCTAATAAGGTGGGCACCGTCACCCTTGCTGGCCAGTAATCTGGCAGGAAGGGCTGGGATCTGAACCAGGAAGTCAGAGTCTCAAGCCCCTGCCCCCTCCTACTATGGCACAATGCCTCACTGCAGGCAGGGTTGAAAAGCAAACATCCATTTGTGATTGCCTCTCATGGAGGTCATCTTTTCTCTACAACCTTAAGCCATTAGGCAGGTGTGTTGGAGATGGTAGCCAAAGGAGGGAAAAATAGAAGGTAAGAGACCAAAAAAAAGAAAAAGAAAAAGAAAAGAAAGAAAGAAAGAAAGAAAGAAAGAAAGAAAAGAAAGCAGTGACCACAGCTCAATTTAGAATATGTACTGCTTTACAGAGATTCAGTCCAAGGAATCCAAGCAGGAAAGTCTTACCATAAGGACCGCAGATATGGATATGGTATGGATGTATTCCAGGAGGGAGAGAGTACGTGAAACAAACTGGAAACTACTCTGTTTAGCTAGCTTAGTTAAAACAAACAAACAAACAAACAAACACCAATATAAGCTCATTGTTTGGTGACTGAATGTTTCACTTTTCCACAAATTGGGGTGCGTGGGGTCTAAGGGGTTCCCTTTGCCTCTTGGTGAAGGGTATTTTATCTCTAGAGGGAGGACAGCAACCATCGGATTCTGATCCTGAACGCATTTATTGGCAGAGAGAGACATATTAGCATGTCTTCATCAAAATGGGAGCCTCTTTGTCATCTGCTGTCAGGTGTTACCCAGCTTGGTGGGGGGTACTTATGGGAGGACAGTACCTCCTTAGCACTTTGCAAAGTGGCTGCAAGGAAGACCGAGAAGTCACTCTAGTGAAGAGACCAGAACAGGGCTCCTGGGAGGACACCAACAGTGAATAATTCTGCCCTTGACCTCATTAATCAATAATGCAGATTGGTACAGGTTACAGAAGGCCATCGCTGGCAAACTCCCCCCGTAAATTAAAGGCAGACACTCTATTTGCTGCCTAGCTCTAGGAATCCCTCCCAACTGAAACTTCAGCTTGATATTTCTTGATCATCTTTTCTATTTCTGGAGTGCATTTCACACTTTTTCTATTAAATATGCAACTTTAGTTTCCTTTTTATGATTTCATTTAGTTTCAGAGTGGCACAATGCCAAAAAACCACCCTTCTAAAACAAAAAAACACATTCTCCTTTATTCAAATGTTGACTGATAATCTTCTGGAATTCTGGCTCCTTCTAGGAGGTTAAAAGTAATTGTTTATGATAAAATTGTATGTCTTCTGTATATTTCTGGATATATATTGCAAATCTATATGTAGCCATTTATACATGTGATAATATACACACATAGTAATATGCAGATACACAGTGTAAATATACATAATATAATGTAATACATATAATGTTTTTCCCAATGAACAGTAGAATTTGACAGTGCAGACACATTTTAAAAGGCACACATACCCTTGACTTGCAAGCACTTTGCCTTTTTGAAAAACTATTGAAGCAGTCAGAACAGCATAATGGTTACATGACATAAAACATACAACTATCATCTCAGAAATGCTGTGATTTCACACAGATTTCACGGAAAAGGGATTTGAAAAATCATAA